TCAAAATCTTGCTTCAAAATGAGCGGTTTGAGCGGTTTTCGAACGGTTTATCGAAAAACACCGCTCAAAAACCGAGCAAGATTTGAACGGTTTTGAGCGGTTTATCTAAAAAAACCGCTCAAAAACGGTGCAAGATTTAATAATAAAAAGTCGACCACAGAGGGATTTGAACCCGCAATCTTCTGATTCGAAGTCAGACGCCTTATCCGTTAGTCTATGCGGACTTGCTGGAAGCTTAATATTCGCTGTATTTGTTCAACTGAATATGTTCAATGTTTTAGACATGCACAACAAATATACTGTCAGGATTTTTATTGTCAGTCTCTACAAAATAACAAACGTCGTGGGTTGGGGGGTACGTTGAGGGGGGTACGTTGGGGGGGGGGGGGAGTGTACGTTGGTGGGGGGGAGGGGGTTTGTTGGATGTTGAATACGTTGAGGGGGTACGTTGGGGGGAGGGGTACGTTGGCGGGGGGAGGGGGGTTAGGGTTAGGGTTACTACATATTGGTCGCCCCTGGATGAACGTGTTCGTTCGAGTTTTGCAGAGAAGAGAAACGTTGAGTCTAGGACCTCGACCCGGGAAGACCGCTCAAAAACCGCTCAAATCTTGCTTGAAAAACCGTTCAAAAATCACCGCAAGAAATGAGCGGTTTTTGAGTGTTTTTTTAAGCAACATTTGAGCGGTTTGAGCGGTTTTTCAAAAAAAAACCGCCCAAACCGCTCAAACCGCTCAAATCTTGCTGAAAAACCGCTCAAACCGCTCAAATCTTGAGCGGTTTTTGAGCGGGTTCTCGACCCGGGCTGCCAAAAAAAATGCGAAAAGAACTTTGTTAGCTCCCTATAAAATTGGAGATTCTGTGTACCGGCGATTTATATTTCCAAGTAGTTGCTCTAATTCTTGTTTACCTGTATTATAGCTTCACAAACTACCCTCTCACTTTTCTTAAATGCCTCAAATCAATTGAACGAGTTTAAAAAGATATTTAAGAAAAATGGCTATTTCATTGACACCACGGATGGATGAGGTAAGATAAAAAGAGAGCCCTTAAATAAGATGTTTAGTACATGTTTCTGCCTCATAGTTAGCGCAGTTGGCAGCGTTGACTCAAATCCTCCAGCGGCCCTTGTTATTGGCCAGCGAAACGTCGCCGGTGATAGATAACCAAAAAGAGCCGAGAACTCTTACTGGTCAAAGCAGAAGATCGTTAATGAAATCATGCGTTCAATTTATCTGCTTCTTGGATATGAGGAAAGCTGATTGTTTTCCAAATAAAACTTCGTGTTGCTTATAAAATTTTTGTTAATTGATACATATTGATATTGATATTGTTCATGTCATCTGCAGGAGAATTATTCTTAGAGAATATTCAAAAGTTGTTGAACCTGCAAAATTTGATGCTCAGTGATCCAACTATTGCGTTGTAAAATTTCATCTTGTACTTTATTCACAGTGTGCGAGACAAGTTTTTTTTTTCGAAACATCAAAACAATGAAATTTTTCAAAATATTTGCCTGAAAATTTTTTGAACATAAACAAGACTGCTCGTAAATCGGTTGAATAATCCGACTGCACTTTATTATCAATTTGAAAGTTTTTTTGTCTGAATACTTGACGAAAACAAAAAAAAACAATTTCTTCTTTTTTTATCATACCACACGCTTTATCTTGCATTGTGGTAACAAGACTAAATTGCAAGCCTCCATTTGATTTGAATCGCCGTACTTCGACGCTTACATGTGCTATAAGAACGCAATATATCGCTCGTCAAAGATCCCAAAATGCAAAATGGCCGTATTAGCAATTAGAAAACCTCCATAACTTAGCAAAAAATTATCCCAAGTGAAATAGTTTTATAAATTTGAAATCAGGACAACGACATTTTTCAGTTGCTATATCAAATTCCCTAAAACATGCCTAATTAAAAAGTCGGAACAAAAAAGATGTCCGAAAATTCAGGATCTCGCTGTGATACGAGCAGTCTCGTTAAAATCATGATATAGCTAAGCAACTCAAAAAGTGCACCCTTAGAATTATTTGTTTTTCTTTTTCACCGTAAATTTTGCAATTCTGTATATATTGCTTCCCTAAAAACAGATTTGTAATAAAATTTCAAATGAAATCAATTTTTTGCAAAGTTTTGTGGGTTAGAAATCTGAGTGCCGGACATCAAGCCGAATCGTAAAATTAGGGACTTCAAGCCCAATAGTTCTTTATAAACTCGTGAGGTATGAATAATTTGAAAACTTTTTTGAAGAATTTCTGAATTTCATGATCTTTCTTCACAAGTTATTGGCGTTTTTATAAAATTTAAGCCTCCAAATGATGTTTCGGAAAGTTGAAAAAAGTAAAACATGGTTGAAGGCATTTTTCATTTTTATAACTTATGCATTTCAAAAACCGGCTGATGTTATTAACGGATGCCAATCACAAGTGGTGCATCGTCATGAATAACGTTTATTATGGACTAAACTTGCCAAAGTTTTCGAAAAATAGCGTTTTACAGATGATAACATAGTGTTTTGAGGTGCTTGTAAAGTTTTAATTTCGGCTTGAAGTCCCTTCGGCTTGAAGTCTCGTCGGCTTGTTGTCCTAGACCCAGAAATCTATCCATTTCTACAGTGCTGATTTAAATTATCCGGACAAAACGAACAAAACTTGAATTTCAAACGCGTTTTTCTCAAATTGGGTTAAGATTAGACAAAAAGTGAAGAGTACAAAAGTTGCTTAGAATTTCACCAGAAAATATCTGGTGCCATTTTTTCTCCGAAGTTTTCAACAAAAAATTTACCCCAAAAATAGGTCATTTTGGCTTTTTTCAATTAATCAAAAATTACGCTGAAACTACTTTGTTAATTGATAAGAAATTTAGCTCACAGGAAGCCTCTTACGCAGCTCAACAAAGTTTAAGAAGGGTTAAACCTCCAAAAACCAGTATAAGAAAAAAAACTTTCACTTGATATTCAATAAATGTGATTTTTACTATATGAAACCCAGAATCTCTGTTTATAAGAAAATTTTAAACAATTTGCCCAAATTTTTGGAGATTTAACCCTTCTTAAACCTTGTTGAGCTGCGTAACGGGCTTCCTGTGAGCTAAATTTCTTATCAATTATCAAAGTAGTTTCAGCGTAATTCTTGATTAAATGAAAAAAGCCAAAATGACCTATTTTTGGGTTTTTTATTTGTTGAAAATTTCGGAGAAAAAATGGCACCAGATTAATTCTGCTGAAATTCTAAGCAACTTTTGTTCTCTTCCCTTTTTGTCTAATCTTAACTCAATTTGAGAAAAACGCGTTTGAAAATTCAAGTTTTGTTCGTTTTGTCCGGATAATATAAATCAGCACTGTACAATTGGGGACATTTATTGCTAGCAAGTTTTCTATTTATAAATACTATATGAAACGTTTGCTCAGAGTTTACTTAATTTTAAAATGAGTCCGACAAAATGACTCTATTATTACGCTAGAAGTTGCAAACTTTACCATGTTATGCTTGAATTGGCGTGTGGATGCAGAATAATTGAAAAAAAAGCAAAATGAAGCCGGTTAATTGATTTAAAAATTATAATAATATCCACAAAACTCACCAGTTTGTACTTGACTTTAGTTTTTGGGGAAAGAAGATTTGCTTTTTCGGAAAAAAATTGATTGTTCCCAAATTTATGTAAGTTTTAACCAAAACTTAAATCAGGACTCGAAGGACAGTCGGAATATTCAATGTTTTGCGCTGATATGCAATCTTGTTGGTTCAGTTTTCACACAAATTGACAAAATATTTGAGCTCCGTGTGTTTTTTTTACAATGAATTTCGACTGTTTGTCTAGCCATTTTTGTACCAACTTTTATACCATCTGAAATAAATGGCTCTTGTAACTCGATTTCAGAAACAAATTCCGTCTCTGATCTTTTTTGCAAAATTCTGGTTTTTGGATAAAAAAACTTCGTTGCCCATTTGAGACAATGAACAGCATTTCACATTCATTTTTTTCAGTGGCTCAGTCCTAGCATCTGGAAATTTACAGAAAGAGTCTTGCTTGGAAACTTCTAGACTTCAACCAAAACTTTCGCAACAAAATTTCAAGTTGATTAATTAGAACATATTACATTTTTTGGATTCTTATCAAATATTTGTTTTCAAAACAGCGACAAGGTCATTTTGCTGAAATTTGCTTTTTCGTGAGCTTGCGTTATTTTACGTTCTCTTGAAACAAAGCCGAAAAAGAATGACCTTCTTAGATCGAGATTAAAAACAAAACACTTTTTGAAGTAATTTGACTCATAGCATTATCAATCGAATGAATTAACACGGGGGTATAGAGGATTTGATGTAAAATTATTCTAGGATAGAACTATCTGCAGTAAAAAGAGTTTTGGTAAAACGTAAGAACTTCTTTAAAAATGGTAAAATTATTAAAATCATACGAGGCAAGCGCCAACGTGTCTTCCTTATGAGAAAGTGTAAAGTGTGCAAATATTGCAGTTTTTCTATAAAATAACAAAAATAGCCGTTTTGATACTTTTTTTAAAAAATTTTTGCATAGTCCTTGATTTTTTTTCTAAAAATTGTTAAAAATTGGGTAATTTTGCAGTGTCTGGTGTCGGAAAAATTCAACAAAAATCCAATTTTATCAGAACAGTCATAGAGCCCCTCTTTCAAAATGATATAGAATCAAGGATCACTTTTAAAAATGCTTACAATTTGAGAACTGGTTTCAGGAAATGTACTTAATTGTGGTCCGAAATGACATTATAGCAAATCAACATCGAAACATTTTCCGAACGCTAATTTTCCGATCGGGTTCAATGCTGTACAATCCGTAACAAATCATTTTAAGTCAAGTAATTCTATTTTATGTATCGAAGGCTAACTAACCAAATAGCATGTTAGCAGAACCTAATTCGACACACCCTTTTCGATTTGTCTTCATTATATAGCTCTCAAATGAACTCATGAATATGGTTCTTCTTGAAATAATTTGTATCTCTATTTTTCGGCTGAATGAAGTTTTTGGGTCGGAAGGAGTAATTTACTATGCAGCACATTCACATAATGACTATCAGCAGCAAGTGCCTCTTTGGACCGCAGTTTCACAAGTAGGTAATTGTTTACTAATTCTAACTTCGAACTCGTTCCTGAATGCTTGGAGCGTGACCTATTAATAACTTAGGGTTTGGTCCGCACCTTTTGGATGTAAAATACGGCTCTTTTTCCTTTCCTCCCCCACCTGCTAATTTTTATAATACAAATTACTGAGGAAAAAGAGCCTAAAATACAATCTCAACCCGGAAGTAAGTTTAAAGAATGTTTGAATACTCGACTATCAAAAAGTTTCTAAATTTCAATGAAAAGCATCCTGTAATAATCTCCAAAAACTGTTTAGGGTATTGGAAGCGTCGAAGCCGACCTACATTTGGTGGATCGTACTCTTTATGTTGGTAAGTTCTGCATTTATAAGGATTTAAGATCACATAGATATCAACATTAGCAGGAAGTTAAACAGGTACTACACACTGTACTGGCTGCTGTATCCATTTTGAAAAAGAATTTGAAATACAAAAATAAAAGTTAAGTTTTGCTCGATTTTTCTATCTTTTTTATTTTGCTTGAAGAAATACTCAAATAAAATCTCATTGAAAACAGTTACTTCACTTCATAAGGCAAATTAAAAATTGTAAAGTCTATCACACATAAATTTACACCAAAGTTGTTGATATTGATCCAAATAAACCCTGTTTTGTAGTTTTTTGAGCAATGGCATGCGCAGAAATGGTTTTAGGCAGCTGATTTTCAAAAAAAGTGAAAATTATTTTGTACACTTTTTTCAGACCCACCGAACTGATTTCTCGAGATCCTCTAAGACTCGAGCATTGCTGTTGAGCATGCTATTGCACTCTCTGAGTTAAATGAGGGTTGATGAAAAACTTTCGATCCAGATTATGAAGTTAAACAAATAACTCTGATTCTGTATAAGTTTTCTAAACCTTTCGAAGCTCCCGTTTGTAGCTGCGAATTAGACTGCCGTTAGAAACATAATCTAGTGTGAATTTTTATTTTTTGAATCATCTATATTTCGAAGTAAAAAGGCGCTCATCTTAATTTTGACAGGTATTCCTTGTCGATAGTGAGAATTTATCTAGCAAGATCTTGTTTGTCTTAAATACTACACGGACATGAAAGAATATTGTTTTAATTGTTTAATTAAGATTACGGTGGAATTTTTTCCATTTTAAATTTTACACCTTTTATCAATTATTAGTCAGATTTTTTTCCAATTTTCAAGATTGGATTCCTTTTAATATATCCAATATTTTTCACGGAATATTTTGTCGGATATCAAAGATAAAGTGTTTCTCCAAACAAGCTGAATGGTTAAAAAGTCCTGCCTTGTATAGCAGACAATAAAGCGATAAGCGAACGGTCCTTTTGCAAGCGTAACAAAGACGCAAAGAGGTAGATCACTGCAAATCAACGACTGAATGAATAAAGGTTTTTTAATAAGTAAAAAATACAAAAATGAGAAAACTAAAAAGTTTCAAGGACCGGAAGATAAAAAAGATATCCGATGAAACAAAGTCTATGAAGTTAAAAGTTAGACAAAGGTACTTTGAAGCGTTTAGATTTAGATTGAACTAGTCTAAAATCTTAATATTGTTTATTTCCACTCTCCTTGCTGCTGGCTTAGTCGAAATAAACTGAAAATATTGTTTTTTTTCAAATTTTTTTTAAATTCCATATCTTTACTAACATATTTTTACTAACATAAGTTTCATATTTTTACTAACTAATTTTTTTAAGACCCGGAAAAAAACTCAGCACTACGGATTCAGAAGAACTGATGACCAAATACTGTGAAAAGCAATAGGTGGACAAATAAAGCAGCAATCTAGGCGCGGAATACAGACAAATAAAAAATTAGTTTATTTAAAAAAACTAGCTATTGACCCATTTTCTATTAGAACTAAGAACAGTTGTTCGTTAATTTTCGAAATTATTTATATATAACTATCAATGATTTAAACTCATACTCTTTTCTATTTTTTGCTTCTAGCATAGTGGCAAGAAGTTCACTTAGAAATAGTCAGATCGTGTATTCAGTCCCATGCCATGGCAATGATAGTAAGTGAGGACCAAATTCGGCTGTAATAGTGGTACCACGTGAAAGTTCTAGACGCAAAAAACGGCCCTGAGTTGCAAAAAAGAGCTTTGCTCAACAAAGTAACCCAGTCTGGAATGTGGTGAGATAATGCAAATGGACCATCCTAAATTGAATCGGAGATCGGTTGATTAACAAACGCTTTCAAGTAGAGTATTAAAACACCAAGTTGAATAATTTAATTCCAATTCAACTTATCGGAAAAATGGATAAACACAGCGTGATTTTGTGACGGAATAAAACCTGAAACAATCAACAGGGCATATAAATAGAGTTGATTGTTTGTAACTCTAGCAGCAATAGTTGACAGCAAACTTGAAAGTAAGCAGCCAAAAATTTGTCTTTTTGAGGACAGACAAGGTCGAATTTGATTGGTTTTACGTTTTAGGTTTTTACGAGCTCGGAATACGAGCTTCCGTAGTTTAAATACAACTACGTAATTGTTACGTAATTATTGAATAAGTATTTCGTAATTACTACGTAATAACAGCAAGAATAAGGTTCCTATTCACAACTAATTGGCCGTATGGTCTTGGGGGGAGGGGCTCGAACATACGCCATGGGGTGCTCGAACTAGCAACTCGAACTAGAACTACGCCAGGGGGTGCTCGAACAAGAACTACGTGCTCGAACTAGAACTACGTCAGGGGGTGCTCGAACTCAAGTGAAACATCCTCAGTCCCCCAAGAGTAGAGTACCGGAGCGAGTCTTACAAGAGGACGACCTAATTCTTCTGTAGTGGTTTTCAGGAATGCGGAAGGGTCGATCGCATTTTTGCCAAATTTCAGGCTTGAGATACGTGCTAGGGGGCAGTATCCGCGTGGGCTAATCCCTCTACAATCCAAACCAGATCTCCGGAATTGAGGTCATGTTCGACGGTTGTGTGCCACGAATGACGTTTGTTGAGAGAAGGTCGTAACCATCGTTTGTCGTAACCATCGAATCCAGATAGCGTTGTCATATGCTTGTGCGCGTAGGTAGCACTTGCTGTGGTCGAAATGATCGTTCGTTGCTACTGAGGGAAAACTCACGGAATGCTGTTCCACTAAAAACTGGTTAGGCGTAAGTGCCTCAAGTTTATTTGAGTCACTGCTAAAATATATATGAGGACGCGCATTTGCAGGTTGTCCAACAAGGCGGAATATTGTTTGAAGAAATTCTTCGGTCAATTTGCGAGGTGTGAGTATCTAGTAGAATACTCTCTTGCAACTACTTAGTTTAAAACTAAAAATAAAAACATTTATACACATGGTTTATCACCAATATCCAAGAGGAACAACTCACCTTTTTGTCGAAACAATCAAACCAAAAAAATCACGAACTAACTGTTCTTTCCGTCGGCAAAAATCCAGAAAAACTTCTACTCTAAAAAATTTACCAATTTTTATGCACTTTTGATATATTCAACAAAAAATTAAGGTTAGCAAACCCAATAAACCTTACAAAACCAAAATGTAATTTTTTAATAAAAATTTATTAAACCCTCAACATTAACCAGAACACAAAAAAAATCAAAGTTTTTAGTATTAATAGCCCAAATCTAGGAAAAATTAAACAAAAATTGCAAACGTAGTCGCGTATCTAGACATAGCTCTCAAAAACTCTACAGGCTTAGATGCAAATGAACATACAGCAGGTTTTCTTAATTTAGTGGAGAACAAGGGAGCATTTTCCCAGGCATTTGACCAACAGGCTCAGGCAATGATCGAAACTTATTTGAAAATAGAAATTAATCGATTCAAAAATAAGAAATACAGCCCAGCCGCTCAATGCTATCAAGGATTCGAAGCAGGTTTGCCTTGGAACGATATAGGAGATTAGTTTGAGAAAAGATTCACTGATTGAAAGAATGAGTATAAAAGACGAATGAAAGCAGAAAACATGAAAACACAACCTGATGAATTCATCAAAAATACCTACTTAGGCTAAACACCTCAGTGGGTTGTGGATGGCCAAATACGAATTCTGAGGATAATCAAGGAAAAAATGGAACTCTTTGTGCAAGGCTTAAGCCCGCCAGAGTCGAAACAAAATAGACATCACGTTCTATTTGAGAATCAACCCGCATATCAGCTACAATTTAAAAAATATATAGCTAGCAAAGACCTAATTTTTGCTGTAGGTAGTGAATTTACTGAGATAGCTTCAAGTTTTGTTGATCATTATTTGGAAACAGAAGAAACAATGGATCAATTCAGAAAATTAACTTATAATACAAAATAACCTAAAAACAATCAAAACAACCCAAAATTTTACAAATGATGCCGCATTTGAAGCCATTTGATAAACCATTGCTTTAAAAACAAAAATTATCAGGAGCAGAATCACGTATCACTTCAAATAAAAGCTAAGAGGAATTATCATATCTATAGCATTAAGCTGAGATTAGACAACGATTCTAATTATATATCTCTCCAGCAAGTATTTGCGCAGATGTCAGAACACAAGGAAATATCTCAATCGAGTGACAGGTCGAACAGTATTCACCCTTTCAATCAAAACAATAATTATCATTCACCTTACCGGTTTCACAATATTAGTCAAAATAATTACCTTCAAGGAGACTATAGCAATGAGGAGGTGAATGTTTCAATTTAACTTATCTCTACCTGAATGAACTAAACAAATATTTATTAAGATACTATACCAGCATTTCGTCGAAGAAAAGAAAATGACGGTCTAGAAACAGTTTTTATTGGACACTGGAGCAACAAGTTTGCATATGAATTTTGACAGATTTGACAAAAAATATTGTAAATTACATCCTATACAGTTCAGTAAATCTAGATCAAACATCGGTGCGGTCAACGAAGAAAGACTTGAACTTAATGGTTATGCATTGTTTGACGGTTCTTTTGATTTTGACGGTGATTTCTAGGTAAAAATTGAAGCATGGACTTCAGCCGAGGACAGATGAGATCCAAATATTTTAGGAACGGATTTCATTTCATATTTTTTTGTTTCCTCTAAAAATTGAAACAAAACTAGCTGGTTATGACAAAATGTTGTCAAATCAAAATGGGATACCTTTCAAAATATCCAATATTTTTTATGGATCATTTAGTCGGATAACAAAAAGAAAGTGTGTCGCTATACAAATGTATCACTGCCTAAAATGTCATATTTTGAACAGCAGACAATAAAGCGGTAAAACCCGGTCTTTTTGCAGCCTAACAAAGACACAAATCAAAGAGTGAAGGCAAATAAATTGTTAGCTCAAATGTAAATACTAGGTATTGACCCTGTCCCTATTAGAACTAAAAACAGTTGCTCGTTAATTTT